AAAATAATTTTTTTCCGAGCGAATATACGTTTTAATAATTTCTTATATTTCGTATTTCCTAACCAAGAGGTTTGTGCTAAAATGGAAAAAAAAACTAAAGCAGTCAATAGAGAGTTTTTCGCTCTCTCTGTTGCTAAAGAAGATTCGATTTTCAGAGTTGGTCTTCACGTTCAAAATTTGATTTTAATGAGAATAGTTGGAAAAAATCGTAAATAGGTAAAATAGTTGCTACATATTCTCTCTTATCACAATGTATTATATGGAATTGCAAAGAGTATTGAAAATTAAACAAATTTATGTATTTGAAGTTCTAACACCGTCGGTTTTTTCACGTCCATATTTAAAAAAAAATTTGAAAAACACGACTAACTGTGATTTTTTAATTATTTTGATGGGAAAAACAGTCAGTTTTTTTTCGTCTATCTCCGCTAGAATCATATTTTTCAGGTGTAGACCAACTCTGAAAAGCAAAACCTTTAATAGAAACAAATAGAGCGTGAGATTCTTTATCGACTTCTCTAGTTTTTTTTCAGTTTAGCACAAATTTCTTGGTTAGGACATACGAAATATTGAGAAGTGCTAAAAGTTATTCTGGCTCAGAAAAAAATTATTTTTATATCTAAAAAATCTACATAGACATCTGAAGTCTCTTCCGATGTTACATCATGTAATCGGCCTCTCTTACTATCTATATTATCACTTGAATCAAAACAGTGCCTTGCCACATGAAAGAAAATTGAATGAAACAAATTCGTTTACATTTTTGTCGCCTACTATAGTCAAAGATAAGAATAAGCTCCTTTATTTTCCAACAAAAAATAAAATAGAATCCAGTCGCCAACAAGTCTAAAGTTAAGCGTCAATCGCTCTTTTAATCTGACATATATAATCACTCATTTTTACTTTGAATGAAAAACTATCAGAATTGAAATATTCACAGTTAAGAAGCTTAAACCTGTAGTCAGTTTGACAAGCAAAGTAATATTGCGTTGTTTTCTTGAATATATATGTTAGCGTCCAATCTCGGATTGGCCTAGGCGAATCGTGGATGCTTACATTGGACTAGTCCAATATCGGATTGATGCAATTCGGTTCACTAAAATATCAATTACTCTTGAGATAGATGTTGGATTCGAATTATTTATTTGAAATTATGTTCGCACAATGCCGTTTTAAATATTGCAAGCGTTCAGGCAGAAGCCAAATTTAGACTGAAGAGCTTAATAAGAACTTTTCATAAAAGTTGTTGTTCTATAGAAATTTATTCATAACTCCTGAACTTTAACTTAAAACTGTTTAACGACGATTATGATAAACAAATTGACATTATGTGAACATAATTTCAAAAAGTAATTCGAATCCAACATCTATCTCAAGAGAAATTGATATTTTAGTGAACCGAATTGCATCAATCCGATATTGGACTAGTTCAATGTAAGCATCCACGATTCGCCTAGGCCAATCCGAGATTGGACTAAATCCGAGATTGGACGCTAACATATGTATATGATTTTAATTTTTAACAAGGACTAGTAATCAAACGAGATATATTCACATAATGTCATTTCAACAGAACCATAAAAAGAGACAATAGTTTAATGAAAGAGCTATACCAACGAAGTACAGAAGATAAATAGTCGTCGAAAAATTTCGATAGTACATTTCATAAATTCTCAACAAATGTGTATGTATAAAAGCAAATGCAAAAACTAAACAAAATTTCTATAAGGCATTATATTGAACACCTTATACCGTGTGAGACTATTTTAATTGTTTCAATCTTTGAAAATTATTATTAGATAAGAAAGAAATGTTTATAAACAAAAATAAATACTATATAACAATCTTTATGACTTAAAACAGCTGAGATCTCAATCTATTTCATCTAAGAAATTTTAATTCAGCTTCTTTAACTTTGATATTCATCCGAATAATTGAAATAAAAATCCTTCGTTAATACTTTTCACCTGTTGTCAATTTTTTTTCTTTCTCAGATATTAATCTATTGAAAATGGCATACCATTTAGATTAATTATTATCAAAACACAATCTCTTAATTCGATTGAATATGTATATGGTAGTTATAAGAATAACTATTTATCGTCAAAATACTCGAAATCTGGACAAATTAGGCTATTGTTCAGCGTGTAGTTATCTTTAAAAAGTTTGATTGAGCATATTCGCATGTCTAATCGCGGTAGTTTTTCTAAATTAAGAAGTTTAGGCAACTAGCATCAAGTATGAAATCAATGAAGCCAATCTTTTCTTCGTTGTTCATATCGATAATTAGATTTTATTTCTGATGTCTCATAATTTTTTCTTGTTCTAGTATAGACATTATATAAATAAAAATGATCTGCTCGCTCGACTAGTCAAATTTTCTTACCTACGTCAAAGACTTATATTTGACATAACACAGTAAGAAGCGTGTTTGTTAAGATACTTTCTCTATTTTATGCTATATTCTTATCACAGAATGTCTTCAAAATAGATATAACGATTGTCATACTATTAATTATAACATATATTGTTGGATCTAGCAAGTATCTGTTTAAATTTATATTGTTCTTAAACGATAAACATATCGAATATGTGTGTAGTACTTAATGCACCCATAACGCTGATTGTTAAGCTTAATCTTATTCAACTGCATCCAGGTCGCTATTTGTATAGAATTATTTTCATTGTCGGAATATGAGAGAATTTCTCAACATCTTAGTTCTTCTTCAACAAAGTTTTTCTTCAAAATTTATGTTCACATGAAATTCTTGCTTTAATCTTAACTAATTAGTTTATTTATTTATCAATATCACCGTTCTTGTGCTAGTTTCGGATTTAGATATATATATCTCATGTAACACAATCACTGTCAATGATTTCTCTATTGTATAACAGCGTATATGTGGCTATTTAACGTGTTCAATGCCGTGTTTTTTGCCAGATAAAAATTTTCAAAATATGAATTCTTTTATTAAGTCTAGCAAGGGAAAGTTTCTAAGTGTCAAATAACTTTTAAGTTGGAACTATGCGCATCACGTAACTTCTAATGATTGATGAATGCCCTGAAAAAGAGTTCGAACTAAAATTTATCATTATCGAGATATCGTATGTTCACTGTATTTTTAGGTAAAACGCCGTAAAACACTTTTACAATAAGTTATTCCCATTAAAGTCTGTTTCTATTTCAAAGTTTCAAGTCGAAATTCAGTTTTCTTGGTATTTCTGATGGAGACCACGGCTTTCTCCTAAAAACTACGAAAAAAAAATATGTCGATAGTAATAAACTATCAGTCCGAGCTCTTTTCAAAGTATTCATAGCTCATTAAAACCTACATACTGTACTTAGTCCTGACTTGAAAGCGATTGGACACATAGAAATGTTCCTTAGTTAGCTTAGGTATTCCTTCTCTTCATATTCCTGTAAATATGTATAAGATCAATAGTGAATAGGTGATGTCTTTACTATGCATATTCATAAAGATACGTTTAAAATATAATTAATAATATTTTTAACCAATATAGTTAGTTATTAGATCTATGACAGTTCCATAATTCGACGCTATGTACGCTACGATTTAACTAGATTTTTTATTCTAATTAAGATGATTATCTTTGGTTTTTTAACTATTCAACATACTACAAAAGTTCGATAACGTTTTAATTTTTGAGTCAATCGCAAAAAGGCAGAATAAATACAGAATCTAGAGAATATGAAATGCTTATCATAGCACTTGTTCAGTTCAATACGTATCTCATTACATCTTCACCATCTTCACTGTATTTAGTTTACTCAATTGTTACAATTCAATAGACAAAATCAAATATTAAACTAGCTCTCGATCAATTCTATTTGCATACTGCGTTTGCATTGACAACTCATATTTTTCAAAATCATTTAAAATGGATACTAGTAGAAAATCAATGATTCAAATTTTTTTAACTTTGCCATGGAAAGACATTTATCAACGATAAGACCTAAAGCTATGTGACGCATTGATAGTCAACATTGAAGACTTGAGCATAACTACGCTGAAACCTCGTTCTTTTTCTATGCTTCATCTATAGAAACAAATATTCGGCCAAAATTCAGTGTTGAGATGGTTTTTTTTCATTCTTGATAATTGTAAAGACAATTGGAATATTTCTAATTTCATCTAAGAAAACTACAGATGTCGTACAAATCGCATCTATATTATTGTTAATAACTATAAACGATGAAAACAATTCCAGCTACGATATAGAAGCAATACGGTCGTAACATGAATTGATAAAAATGCACCAATGAAGTCGAAACTAGAACAGGCTAAATCAAAAATAAAAATACAACTATTTTATAGTTTTGCTTGATAAGAGTTTTTGCCAGTCTGTTTTATCGATTATTCTACATCATAGTTATAGTTTTATTTGTATAATCGCTTTGACATACAATGAAAAGAATGACTATTATCTGTAATTGAAATCATTCATAAGTAAAGTACAAGGTTTGCGATTATTCATTTAATAGAGAAAAGACCATTATCGTTGAGTATGATTAATGAGACGCAAAACGTAAAAATAAGACGATTAACAAAAAGAAAAATGTATTCAATGTCGTTAAAAAATTTCTTTCTTTTTGTTCGAACAACTTATATCATTTAATGAAGATTATTAGAAACGACTGATAGCGCCACCATTCTCTCACATTTACGTTCTTTTTATAACTGTATATATATATATATATATCTTGTTTGTAGCTTTCACCATTATTCATTTCGTTTTTATTCATACCTATAGCAACCGCGGTCAAAAAGATTGAGTGCATAGGTTATTCTTTCTATTGCATAGTTAACTTCAACCTAAAACAAAATAAACCATACAAGATCTTTCGCTTTTAACAGTATGACTTTGTCAGCTAACAATCAATGACATTTTTTTTATCATCTTATTGTCATTCGCAGATATCTGTTCTTGCAAGATCATTAATATTTTTATCATTTTCTCAACGATTTATTCAGTATAATATGACTCATTCAAAAGCATATATTCCTTTACATGCTCTTCGTAAAATTGATATACAATCAATACTTAGTATTGCTTTCCCATTGTTAAATGATGAAGAAACTCAAAGACGATTTGATTATCACCATAGTCGTCGAACAATGCTTCATTTTTTATTATCAATATATAATACATCAAATAATGAACGAATAACTAATTTAATAAATGAATGTTCGTCAAAAATTGATTTATCACGTGTTGAAAAAGATTATTATAGTTTAAAAAATATAATTGAGCCATATCAACAACAATATCATGCTGAAAAACTTGGTAATTATTGGGAGTTAATAAAAGAAGCGAATAGGCCAGGTCCAATAAAAGCAAATGAATATATATCAAAATATCGTGAAAATGGTTTTCAAGAAAATGAACTTAAACTATATTGGAATTATGATCAAATTCGAGAATTAATTGAAGATGATCGTTTTAATCCCGATACAGATAGTGATACACATGATGCTCTATTAACATCACCTGTTGATACACGTGAAAATTCTGGAACAATACAATTTATTCAAGCTGGCATTCAAAATGCTGTTTTTCAAGTTCCAGAAGGCAAACAAGTTATTGTTCTTGATTTTGCTGATGAACGTATGCCCGGTGGTTATTTTCTAGAGAATGCTCGAACACAAGAAGAAGTTTGTGAAATATATATAAAATTTAGTTTCAAATCTTTTTATTTTTGTAAACTTGATATTTTAGATTATTCTATATCATTCTGATGGTTATCGTGCATTGTTAGATTTAAAATATAAAATAATGGATGGAGGTTATATGTTACCTGAGTTTGGTGTAGCTTATATCAAACAAGTACGATTTTTTCAGGAAACACCTCCAGAAGAACGTGTTACGGATTTGATAGTTGCTGCTTGTAAGTATTTTGAATCATTGCATAGTTCAATTGAATTTCCCACTCTTTTGTTTATCTTGCTTAAGACTACCGCAGTTTAATTTTCTTTTTTTTTCGATAACTACTATATATAGCAAAAAAAGTACAGACTTCACACAGCATCGTGTGATATATTAATCACGAATAATATATCAAGTTCAGAGAATAAAAAATACATGTCAAAGAAAAATATGTTTTAATTTTTTACTACAATATACCATAACAGAAAATCGAGTTTTTGTATATATGAACAGATTACACAGTAGTAATCGATCTTCATTGATTTTCATCGATTCGAAAATATTTTATACATACGTCACTGTCGTCTGATAAAATTTGTTGAGGGCAAGTTTGTTTGCTTATATAAAAATACTCAAACAGTAACGTTTCAAGAACTATCAGTTTTATTTTCTTCTATTCATCCACACTGTTCTATTCTTTTATTTGAAATATATTTCATTTTTTAAAAAGCTCAATCAAAACCATGTTAATTGAACTAAACTAACATCATATATGTTTTAGTAAAGACTAAACTTAGGTTTTGGATCGTCGTTTGAAGAGAAACGTTTGGTTGTTCTGAAAAGACTGAATGATAAAATTCAAAATTTGAAGTTCAGCAATCAGTTGATGGGTGCGTGACTCTTTTTTTGCTTTATACATAGAAATATTACGTATTCATCTTTGAGATATTTAACAGATGTAAATGACTATAACATGATGCACCGTAAGTACAAAAAAGAAAATGAATGTTTTTTGAAGGCATCTCCATCAACCGATTAAAATAGTGATCGAACAAAACAAGTCAGTTTTCATCAGTATAATGGTTTTTTTTCAATCGACTGGACTAGATCTGTTCAAAAATTCTTGACTGGTTACAACTTTGGCATATATATTACTTCTATAGTTCTTTGAGTCTTCCGACGTTCATTTTTGTATCAATCTCTGTAACTAAATAAATATACTGACGATAGTTAAAATAATATTTATTCGTATGTAAAAAATAAAGAAGACTATGCTATTTTTGTTTTTGATGTATTTTTTTTGCTCTCTGAACTTCATGTATTATTTATGATTAATATGTCAAGCGATGCCGTGAAATCTGTTATTTCTTGCTATATATATTAGTTATCGAAAAAAATCAAGCTACAGTAGCCTTAAGTAAGATAAAATAACGCGGAGAGAAACTCAATTGAGGCGCACTGTGCTAAAATAGCACGAATCGCTCTTATCTTAACGCATATTATTCATTGCTTTGATATATAATAACAACGTCAATAATTCATCGTTAAGAGAAAACAAGGCATACTTCTAGATTATGAAATATACTCTTTCTTCTTCATCATAATTCGTCTACTTAAAACATTTTCATTTTGCTTGATATTGAATATATTATTATACCTTCAGGTGATAAAATCTTTCAGTTTCAAATAGATATGTCACTTGAATTTTGACATAAGAGTTACAGCTAAAGTACCTTCTTTAATTTTAAATGAGAAGTTAAAGTATTTTTTTTATAAAAAAGAAAATTATATTTTCTTATTGATTATTAATGCTTGAATATTTTTAGTTTCATTTAAATTCTATCGAAGATTGTTTATCGACGAAATAAATGAATATTAAAGCAAATAAATCTGAAAAGTAGTACTTTTTTGTCTATAAAAATTTTAAGCTTGACTTGCCTCAGCTATCTTTGCTACTTCTCAGCTTTAAGAAGTCTATAAATCATTGATGATGAAAAACTAAAACAAAAAAATTTGCTTCGTGTAAATTCCACTTTGCATCTCATGTTAAAGTTAATGAGCCATCTCAGATGTTAAAAAAAAGCTAATAAAAATCAACTTTTATTAACATACATGATGTCTCCAAAGTCATTTTACCTAGAAAAAGATTGCATATCTCAGTCATAGACTGATCAAGTGAGTTAATTTATGTACATACGTATTTATAAGAAAAAAACATTAATAAAAAATGTATTGAAAAATCACTTGAAAAAAATTCAACGTCTTTGGAGTTCCAAAAGATGGCATAGTCCCAAATAGGGAAGAACAAAGTTGAGTACTTCAAGGATATATCAAAGCTACCCTCTAGAACGTTTTAGTTATTTCAGGTCTACTGTGAACTTGTGTCACGAGTATATTAGTTTGAGTACATTTGATATAAGTCTGTCTGTCAATAAAGTCTAAATGCTTCATTGCACTTCAAAAGTTGAGTATCAATGAAGTGCATTGAAGTATTTTGGCTGTATTCATAGACAGACTTATATGAAATGTATTCATACTAATATGCTCATGACATCCGTTCATAGTAGATTTGAAATAGTTATAAAGTTTTAGAGGATAACTTTGATCTACTCCTGGAATATACGGAAGTATGAAGTTTTCACTTCTTCTCTTCCATATCTTTCATAAGATTGAATGTGTGCCATCATTTCCTTTTTTTTATTGATAATCGAGTCATCACTCTTAACATGTGAGAATCATCATACTGATTTATATTTCAAAGAAACGGATGAATATTCAAATTTTTCAAGAATCTAAATAATTGATAATTTAGATTATGTTCAAAATCAAACTATTCAATCTATTTATAACTAAAACATTCAAATTTTCTTTTTGGTAAAAAAGATTTTGAATTTTCTTTGTTTGAATTGAATTCTTTCTTCACTAGAATATCTAAACACTAAGCAAGAAATATCAAAATCTATAAAACTAAGCATACAACTTTCGTTTTTTTTCCACCAAATGTAATGTATCTTCCTTTAATAGGTTATGATTTATCTGGTATGGGTGAAGGTTTATATAAACCACCATCATATGAAAAAATTGAAGATTTACGTGATCGTACATATCAAAAATTTCAAGCTATCGTAGCATCAGCTGTTGCTAATACGGAAGGAAATGGTGAAAATACATATTTATTATTAGGACCTATTGGTACTGGTGCATTTGCCAATGATATGAAAATGATAGCTGAAATATTTTCAAAAATATTAAATGAACCATTAATGGGTTCTAACAACCCTATACGATACGCATTTGATCAGATCTGGTTTGTATCAATTGATAATCTTGATGTATTTGCTAGAGAATTTGAAAATGAAATATAATTTTTTTTTTCGAAATAATCATTTTGTCATAGACAGTACGTAACAATCTCACTAATAACATCTATTTGACACAAGATTTGTCTTCTGTCATTATTGTTTTGTAAAAGAAAAAAGAACACATTTAAATATATCAGTTAAACATAAAAGGACACAAAAAGAAAACTGTATTATTGTTTTTTTTTGTTTTGTTAGTAAATTAAATATATTCTGTTGTATAATATTTATTGGCATCTTTTTTTAATATCACGTGTAATGGATTGAATTGTGTTGGTTTACGTGGTATTGTTTCAATATTATTTGTTTCATGTGAAAGTAATGGTTGTCGTGCATTTGATGTTCGTCGTGATTGAGATGCACTGCTAGCTATTGATCCACCACCAATCGTTCCTTCGTTTTCACTCATTGTTGCATCAATTAAATTTGAATAGGCACTTTTAACTGTTTCATCAAAATGTTTATCATTTACAAATGGAGTTAATAAAACTTCTTTTTCTTCTGGTAATGCATCTATTATGACATTATTGGGAACAACAATAGCAGATAATACTGGATTTGTTGTATTTGTAGGAGTCGTTGGTGAATGTTCACTGAGAGGATTAATAACAACACTTACAGGAGGAGTTGCATCGGATTTATCTGGTAAATCAATACCATAAATTTTTGATGGTTCAACTGATGAAACTGTTGCCTTAGTTACAGATTGTATATCATCATTTAAATCAGCACCGTAAATACCACTATCAGCTGCTGTTAATGATGGTTTAAGTGCTGATGGTGCTGATGATGTAGCAACAGCTTCTGAACTTGTTGAACTTGTTTCTTTACCTGTTGCTCCTGTATGACCTGTTGCTGTTGGTGTTGTTGGTGTTGTTGTTGTTGCTCCAGGAGAAGATTTAAAACGAGAATTTTTAACATCAGATATTTGTACTGTTCGTTCGGGTATTAATTTACGTTTCGTTGCTGTTGCTGATGTTGTATTCGGTGGTTGTTCAAGAAGTGGAATTTTATCCATTGTTTTTGTACTTGGCTTCAATGCTGCATTATTTGTAGATGTTGTAGGTGAAATATTCTTTTTTCCTGTATTAGTTGATGGTGGTGATGTAGTAGATTTTGATGTTGTAGTTGGACGTCGACGTCTAAAGAATCAAAAGTATAATATGTTGAATACTTTTTTTTTTACATTTAGAAAGATAATTACTTTTTAATAAAAAGGAATATGCCTATACCAACAACTATAGCAATAACCAGAGCGATTACACCAGCAATAATACCGATAATAATTTCTTTACAAAAAATTGTTATATTTAAGAAAAAAAAAATATTTGTTGGACTGTATACCTTTCTTTATTGTTTGTTTTGTTATTGTTCCATTTGAAGTTCTCATATTATTATCTGCAATTGCTGGTATAACTATTGTTGTTGGTGGAACAGTTGTTGATTTTATAACAGAATGTATTGATGGTTCAGATAATAAATCATATGCAATACCTTCCTGATTATATTGTGCACGTGCCATTGATGGAACAACTAGAAAAATAAAACTTAACTTTGATTATGTCAAAGGAAGCTTATCACTAGATGAACATATGCCTTTTTTTTCTATTAACCTGGCATTAATAACAATCAATTCTAATGATAATTGTCTACATACCTTTATATCGTATTTTAAAATATCTTGGTTTTTTTGATACAGCTGTTTGTAATGACATATATAAGGAATTGGACGAAATAAGATAACGTCCTTCAGGTAATGGATTATTTGTTGAATGTTCAGCACCGCACCATGTATAATAGGATTTCCAAATATTTTTAGAATTTTTATTTGATGCCGTATCATCAGAAAAGGAGTTATTTGATAATGAATTAATATAACCAAAAATTTCTAAATATTCTGATCGACATTTAATTGCATCTTGTAGACGTATTTGGATTGGTGCTAATTCAATATACATTGATGGACCCGCTTCTAAAGATGCGAAAGAAATATATATTGTGTTTAATGAAGCAAAAAAAGTAATCATACCAATATTAATGGAACATTTGAGATTATCTGCCATTGGATGGGGATAAGCTGGTGAAACAATAAATCCATAAAGTGTATTTCGGATAGGTGCTGCATCTATACACATTGTATAAACTAATTAAAACAAAAAGAAAACATTTTTATTATCTATTTTTTTTTATAATTACTCTGTGTACAAGTATATTTCACAAAAAAATATGTTGGTGCATAAGCTTTATCTCCACATTGTATATAATTACGACTAGATACTTCAATTGAACATGTTTTATTTCCTTCACATAATGATCCATCAATTAATTCTTGACAATGAATAAGATAATCTGAATGTACATCAGGTTCACACATTTGTGTACGACGATAAACTTTACGTATTGTTACTTCAGTTAATAAAGCTGTTTCATCTGGACAAGATAATTGATGATGACCTTCTTCGGTTGTACACCAAAATTTATCATATGTTTTTGATGAAACTTGAAAAAAAATAATTCTTTTTGTCTGATTCTTAAATGTTAATTAATATATCTATTACAACCAAGAAAAAAAAACTATTTTTATCCTTGGGGGAACTAAACTGATCTTATCACATAATCGAAAATAAATTGTTTTGTAGATAAGCAAAAGTTTTTGTTGAATGACTTTTACTCATCAGTAATGAAGATAAATGAATATTAATTGATAAAGCTCTATATTTATATTGAAAATATATATACATTTGGATGTCACATAAGTGTTCGTTAAGATAGGGTTTCTCAATCTCATCAATATTTACTTTTTCATCTTACAAATTCAATGTCATTAAAGACAACATATCATCATGACTATAAATAAAGATCATGCACAGCATAATGATATTTTGAAACTAACTAATAAAGAAAAAAATAGAAAATTTCCCTTGATGATAGATATTTTCTGGAAAGATTTATTCTTTTAATAGACGGCATTTATAATACATACCCAATTGACAACAACAGTACAAACTGGTGACAATTGCCAGAATACACTCAGGCCGAAGCCATACCACCATCCTACATCGGATGTATATCTGTTGTGATCTTAGTTGTTTTCAATTATAATTGTAATTATTACCATGATGATTATTAATAATAAATCTTTAGTGTGTAATTAACATCTGAAATAAAACAATAATATATAGGATAGTGTACAAATTATAACGATGATAGATGTTTATTTTTTTATCTAAGCAGTGACACCTTGGTTATTCCATCTGACAATAAATTATAGCATCAACCATTATATTGTTCTCTCGAGTATACATGTACATGTCGATATATATGGAAAAGAGAACTTATTTTGGATTATCTTCAGAAGGAATTATGCTTATTCTAATACTTTTATATACGTGAATATGACGAATATACAAAGGGGAATGCATTTCTGGAAATATAGATTTGTTTATACAATGAATAGAATATATACATATATATCTTACCTATCGACACATACGATCTTCGTTAATTTTCCCATTCAATATGATTCAAAGCATATATACTTATATATATTAGAGTTACGTGTCCATCTCGATTATTTGTCCTTGTAGCAAAATCATTTACAGATCTCTCATATTCCTTTCTTTCTGCATATTCTCAGTTTCTGCTCGTTTATTATGACAACATACTGATAGATCGATGTTACTGTTGCCTGCTATCGTTAATGCTGCACATATTTATACATATATATATATATATATATATGTGTGTGTATGGGCGTCCCGCCTTATTCCAATCCGTTCTGAAAGCAATCATGATAATGAGTTGACGAGATATTTTGATTACATTGCAAGGCTTCGACTTCAGACGGTATACTCATTTTCTCTTATAGTGATATGTATTAGTATTCTATCGCAGCGAATTCTATACATTCTTAGCCGTCATTCTCTTGTCTATCAAAGACGACAAAGATGAAAGATGATCATAGAGAACGAGTATCTCGTTTTTTTCTCTTTTTAGTATATCTCGGGTTAACCTAACAAACAAATAAACAAAACATAGACATCGATTTAGATTGCCTGCTTGCCTGCGCACAGATGAAAAAAACCATTTTTATAAATACATTAAGCGATTTTATCCTATTGTGCACGCACGAACAACAATAATCATCGACTCATAATTCTGTGAAACGATGACCACGATCATGATGATGTTGATAATAAAAATAATAAAAATAATAAAAATAATAATAGTAATAATGAAAATAGTAATAATAGTATAGTACTAATGCTACTGGATGTCGATTTCTGTCATATTATATTATAAATTTAAATTTGAAGAAGATCGATGCCAGACTCTCTACATTTTGGTATGAATGCAGATATATGTCAGGAAAGGAAACGTGTGTTTACATATTTATTTTGTATGTATGCCTATATATGACTTTATGCATATGTGAATGAGAAATTCTCGCTTTTTCTCTGGACTCATTATCTACGATGATGAAATATAAATGTATAATGACAATCGATGACATATACATTCCAGGTGTGTAATATAAAATATCATGACGGATAGCCGATGTATTTTACTATTATTATTCTTTTTTTTAATATTTTTATTTTTATCTATTAATAACTTTGTTTTTTTTCTTAATATAAGAAATAGTCGATAGAATAAATAGATACATACAAATATTTTTACACTTGTCTTTTCTTGTTCACAAATAAGTGATGGTTACCCATTGTCGCGGTTGAAAATAATGTATGGTAGTGTTAGTGATGAGGATGTCGATAGAACAGAGAGAGCGAGAGAAAGAGAGAGAAGGAGAGACAGAAGAAAAGATCTTTTCGAGCCGTGCATGCGCGGTTACTCCAAGAGGATAGTCAAAAAAAACTGCAAGAAAAAGAAAAGTAAGAGAAGAGAAAGAATTTATTCTTTCTTCTGTTTTTCACGCCCGGAAGGACGACGGGAGTAATGCTAGAAGAACAGAAAGTAGAATGGAAAATCAATGTGTCGATCCTGGGAAG